CATTCAATGTAAATCGTAATCATGAAAAAATAATCATGGAAACCTATGGTTCGGAAAAATGTAGCTGAAACTTTTGTCAGAAAGATTACACACTCATCTCTAACCTTCGCTATTTCACTTATTTTGCGCCCTTTTCAATTCCCTTATATTTTCAAGCAAAAACATAACATAACTCAAAACTCATAATATATTTGAGATCAGCAGACAAAACTGGGTCGAACAGCATACTTAACACTCGGTTTTCGAACAAAAAATTTCATTGAAAATTTTTTTCTCTAGGTTAGAGATGAGTATGTAATCTTTCTGACAAAAGTTTCAGCTACATTTTTCCGAACCATAGGTTTCCATGATTATTTTTTCATGATTACGATTTACATTGAATGCAAATTCTATAGCAGAAAGAACTTCAGTTCATCACCCTCGCCCTTCTACATATGTTTCAATCGTGGGTGCTCGTCCTCAATGAATTTCCAGAACCACACAATAGTTAACCTTTATACTTTGGCTAGATAGTCTACAAACATTCTTACAAGTTCTTGGTGCGAATTTGAAGTCAAAATGATGCTCCTAGACGGAATTATGAATTTTTTCGCAAAGAACCTCGAATTTTCAACAAAAAGAAAGCGATTCTCGCCCGTAAAAAACCTGTATTTCACTGACTACTAACAGCCAACTCACAAAATCCATATCATCGATAGAGTAGAGTCGTGGCTACATTTCTGTAGAAAGAAAAAGTTTTCATCTCTCTAAGTTCAGCAGTTATTGATACTTTACGGAAAAGAAATAAATCGCTTATATCTCACGAACCATCTAGTAAAAGAGGTCCACAGTTGGTGGGTGCTCAGCACTTGGTAAGAGCTATGACCACACAAAATTAGAAGTCTCTAGCTATCATGGTTCTTGAGTTACAGGCGTATCGCTACTTTGCGGAATTATTTTTTATCCCGTCCTGAAAGGGTTAACAGAACTATAGCGAACAAATTCGTACAATGTGTTTGGAGAGTAGTACGACAATTATGATAGATTCTACAAATTGGTCATAACAATGGGATTCTTGTTATGAATTAAAGATAATTTTCTCCTAATCCCGTGCAAATTGATGTAACTGTAACTTAATAAATATGATCAGTAATAGAGTAGTTTTATATATTTCAACATGTTCTAGTTCTTTTTGGATATTTCGATTTATAATCGGTGAACTACTAAAACTTGCCACAACTTGGTGAAGAAACTAAAACTTAAGGAACTAACTAGAACGTAAGGAAATAATTTTACATTCAAAAATAACTTGCCACTCCATTTTTAAATATATGCATATATAAACATGTTTATTAATTGAACATTTTTGTCCCTAAAGTTGAATTATGAATTATAAACTTGTCTTAAATATAATTTTTTGTAAATTATTTAGAAATCGGTACCAAAAGTACCTAACTATAAAGTAGAGGATAACCCCGTACATTATATGTATCAAGTTTTGTAATTGCCGATGAAGAATATCGTTTTAATTGTGTTAATAGTGCTCTCAAGACATGATCAGTACAATTGTCGAATCAGCATTAACAAATCTACGGCGGTCAACTATATTCTAAAGAAATAATTATCACTTCTACCATGTCTAGATGATCGTCAACTTAGAAGCACTTTAATCGATTATTTTAAATCATTTACCTGTTACGAATATTTGTTTCAATGATATCTTAATGTCATGTACACATATTATAGAGATAATTAAAAAATAATTTGAAATGAAAGTCTTATTTTAAAAATGTCATTTATGAGGAAAAGATTTTTCCTGTTTTATTGCTCTCATGCACGTGCTTTTATGTTGATTCAAGTGACACAAAAGGAAAGAAAAACGAATGTGCTATTTCAGTTTAACTTAACATTCGTTTCTTTTTCGATATAGAGCTATAGAGCTAATAGCTCTATTGGTCATAGATGACGAAGAGAAAATTCGTGAAATAGTCTATTTACTACTGTGATGAAGGTGTGAACAACATACTTCATCTCTTTGTCTTGTTCGACACAGTGAGAAGAGTGACCGCTTTTCCCTCATCGTTTACAAGACTGGACTTTCTTTGAATGTCACGTAGTTCGTTGATAAAATTCGAATTAGTTTTATTTTTGTATGCATATAATATTCAGTAGTGTCGTACACACTTCCTATTAGAGAAACTACGTTTTGTATGTCGTGTACTAGAAGATTATATATATATAAGTATAATTATATAATTATATAAGTATAATTTGCATGTTATTCATGTCCTAGATGAAGATGGAAACGTTTGGATTGTGATATCCGTTGTTTCTTTAGTTAGAATATTTAATTGTTATTTTTCACTGACTGCTTCGATATACTTTAGACAGCAAAGATTTATTTTTGAATTATCAAAAGATCATAATATAGTAGTATACATTATTCAAATAAATATTAATTCACAAATATTTTTCTGTATTAAAACATTTCATCGGGCATTTGCGAAGATACCGATGTTGAAGTACAAGAATTATGATTATCGTCGTCTATCTCATCATGCAATCGATTTTGAATTGAGTTAAAAAGTCCAGATGTTGATCGATTAGTCATCATTTGTGCTAAGTGTGGTGAAGTAAGGCGTTTAGCTGGCTCTGGTGTATAGGTAAACGTTAAATTGGTTAGAAAAATGACACCATCACATCGTACAAACGAAATTGGTAACTAAAATATGTATCAGAACGAGTATAATTAAATTAGAAATTCATCTATTAAATACATACTTGAGTTTGTCGCATGGTATATTGCCAATCAGAACGAACATCTGATATCGATGGTACAACGGCTACAATAGTTTGTGGACAACTAAATAAAACTCGAGTGTATTAAAATTATAAAATGACCAAATCAAACAGAATACATACCGAACCGTTGTGTTCGGTGATTCAACATCACCAAACCAAACTTTAATATGGGGAAAAAAATTATCACCGGTTATTTCAATCATAGCTACTTCTCCACCACCATTAACGGAAAGTGAATAAGCGATAGGTATTGGCGCTATTTGGTACGGTAATGGTCCCATTGCTTCATACCATGTATACTCTGCTTTATCCGTCGATATTATTGTCCAACACGCACCATCATTTATTATTTGACGTAATGGTTCTTTTGAACATGTCCTTGCCTTAAATAATCGTATATCGTTAATCAATTGAAGAATTATTTCGTAAGGTGAAAATTTTTAATAAGAATAATAGGACTAAAGTCACCTTTTTTAACATAAGTATAAAGTAACAACTTTATTTATTTGAGACGTTTCGAAACGTCTCAAATAAATAAAGTTGTTACTTTATACTTATGTTAAAAAAGGTGACTTTAGTCCTATTATTCTTATCGTTAATCAAAGTAGATATTTAAAATATAAATATTTCTTACCGGACTTTGAACAATTTTTTCTTGTACTAAACACAAATATAACAAATCGGAATCTTTAAAATAAAATGCACATTTGTGAAGTTGTGATACAGGCTCATCTGAATCTAATAATACACGATTTTTATCAACTTTTCTCACAATCTAAATTAAATATGTAATTAAGTTTTTCAGTACACAAGAACAATATACTGAGAACGAAATTTTCAGAAAATATTTTAACGAGATTTGACTATTAGAATTATAAATTGAAATTTATTTCTCTTCAATTTATGCATGTACAATATTTACTGGTATATTTTACCCTTTTTCTCAATGAAATTGATTACAAAGTTAAAAAAAGTTTTTTAACTAGTTCTACGGAATCAAGACCAAAAGTACTATTATGTTGCATTTGTAGAAAATGTTTAGTATACAAAATTCAATTGTTAAAAAAAGTTCTAGGAGATTCATTTGCGTTATAAAAGCTTTTGTGAAAAACCATAGAATTGCAATTGGTAACCGATGCGTGTCTACTTCAATTATTGAGTGAAGATTATATATGTTTTGCGTATGGTCTATTATTGTGCATGTATTGTCTGTGAGATGCATGTCTGTCAGTCTGACAACCTATTCTCTTGGGCCTCTACAATCTTCGTGTGAGCGTAGTTATACGCTTGTTCGTTCACCTTTCTATCGTTCTATGTCAATTAAGATATTAGTACAATCGCGGATGGACACAACCAATGTCGTAAATCTCCCTGTTTTACGTTTTCTAACTTGTTCAAAGCAAAATTCGATAATATACCGAAATGAGAGTTTTTAGGTAGCAATATACGATCGTTATTCTTAACGCAACTACCGTTCTTCTATCGTAGTAGTAGGCAAGATTATGAAGATTGTGAGGTTTCTCAGTACTTATAACATCAATTTCTAGAGATTCTAAAGCGAAATCGTTAACCATTTAGCCCCGGAAGGTATTTTTTTAAAGATCCATGAAAGGCGACTACTGAAGTGGTGCTCTTGAGTGCTCACTATGTCCATTCGATACTTAAAATAAAATGAAGTTGCCTAGGTGACAGAATATAGAATGTCCACGGGGGTGGACATCCCGGGATAAAGGGCTAAGATTTTGCATTTCGAATACATTTGAAATATTTCAGTTCTTCTCTGATTTATCTGTAGAAAGTACCTTGTTTCTTAAAGACGATAATTGCTCCCCTGCTTAGTATGATCAAACTCTCTTGCGTCTTTGCAATCTTTAGGTTAGCATAGTTGTATTCTAGTTTAAAATGTAAACGGAAGACAATTTCTAATAAACTATTGTAATTTACCAGTCTTGGTAAGGCTAATCCAGTGACACAACACACGAGTTTAATAGTTGAACCATATTGCACAAAGCCTAAATATAAAACTTATTAAGATTGGAACAGCAAAATATTTGTTAATCTTACCATCTTTGCAGCTAAATTTTTCCGATTCACTCTGTTCATCATCAATTAAATGTATAAAAAATGATCCCCATTCATGAGCACTTGCATGAAAATTATTGTTTTCAACATGTAAATAACGCTACAATAGATAATAACTGAAATATGATCATTAGATATTTGACACAGACATTCATACCGTGCTAACATTTTGGGACCGTAAACGATTGAATAATGCTACTTTAGAGCCCGATGCAATACACACTAGAACAAAAAATTATCCTGAATTTTTATATATTAGATTTAACTCACATATTGCACCCAAACAGAGAGTTAGCGTCTTTGTGAGACTTGTAGAATTAATTCGATTGGAAATAAACTTTAGCGCTGTCGTTTTGGAAAACGAACGATTGATTTTAATTCTCTGTTTCTTTCATAAATAAACTTACATTCAGAATTTTTTACTGATTGTTTTTTCTTCGATGGTTTTGATATAACTTTAATTTTTTTACTATCAAATGTGCCAATTTCGCCTGAATTGGTGGTAAATAATTTGACGTTTAAATTGAAATGTTTTCTTTTGTCCGAATCGGATATAAATAATGTTTTAGCTGCACAATATTTCTTTAAGGAAAAGAATGACCGATACTTATTATATAGTGTAAAGAGTTCGTGCATACTTTTCCTTCAAATTGCAACATTTGCATATCTTGTGATGTTGATTGTTGATTCGACGAAGAGGATGAACTATTATTCATACATAAAAGTGGTTCACCAATTCCGATATAAGCGCATAATTGTTCATTATTTGTGTCCATATCAGATGTGTCTAGTAAATCATCCCATTCCTCACCAGATAAATAAACACATGGCGGTGGGCAAAAGAATCTATTTGTCGTGAAATATTATAGTTATACAAACCAGTATATTTTCATATATAAATGACTTACCTTTTTTCGTTTCCATAAGATTTTTGTGCAACTTTTGCATGTAATATTGTCACTGTACGATGTCTGGGATTTCTCAGATAAGTTGTCATTACATGTTTTGGCAACGGTCGATTTTCAAGTTCGATAAGATGTCTAAAAACTTGAATATTGTGACGAATAAACTTTTCATTCATTGTTACCCTACCTGTCATCAGAAAATTCTGTTAATGGTGGTGATTTATCGTTTTGTAATGGTAATCGTAGAGTCATGGATGACGTTATCATTTCACTAACATTCGATGGAGACGATAGTAATGGAATGCTTGCACTACTCGTTTCGTCTAAATAGAATACGAAAGTTGCTTATATTCGTTCACTATTTAAGTCTACGACACAAATTGAGATAATTCTTCTTTCTTACACACACACCCAAACTAATGTATAGAATATTGAACTATTAGAGATAAACATCTAAAACTCACATTTACTGTTCACTTTAAAAGAATAGTAGGATATATGCTGAGAAAAAGAGATAAAACTTACTAATGGAGTAAAGTCACGATAAACTTTACTAACATTTTTACATGATAATTGCGTTTTAGTATTTCGATTCTGTTAGAAATATGTTTTTCTATTGTGTGAGTATGTGTATTGTTTGACTAGTTCAACCATCACAAATTGTTCAAATCTGTACGTCAGTTCGAAACATGTATTAAACTAAATATAATTGATATCCTTCTCTTTTCTCTTCTCTTTCACATATTGGAAATGGTGGGAAAGAATGAAAAATTTTCCCATCATTCAAATATACGCGAGATACAGAAAATGATGTATCATATTATTGAAGAGTTCTTCTATATTCGCTGCATAACAAACAGACGTCGGTTAGCATGAATGGAGCGAGAGGATGAGGACATTACACATTTTTTTTTTCGTTTATTAAGAATAAGGATCACTACTGTTTAATAAACTATCATGCAAATCTTTTCGCTTATTTTCATTTGATATAATTCAACGATATGTTCAAAACTGTTAAAAAATGTCACTTCAAATAGATTATTAATATTCATCGCCATTATTCTACTATTAAGTGGACGCCTTTATTATGAAAGTGGTAGTAATTTGTAGCATATTTATGCTAACAGATGCCATTTCGATGCTTCGTTTTACACTCTATTAGAAAAACTTATCATTTTTTTTGTAGAGACAGAATTATCCGAGAGTCACATGGTTCAAAAGAAAAACCGTTCATATTTACTGATTCGTGGATGCTTTTTTATAACACGTTTGAAAACTTTTGTTCTATTGCTCGGTTTATTAAGTGCTAATTTCACTTTTTTGGGTGGTATAGGCATTTCTTGTGGGGCTGGAGGGCTATGATCAATTGTTCGTAATTGCAGTGGATTATGGTCAAACGATGTTCGAGAATTTGCCATGTTAGTCATTATTTGATGCATAGCCATTTGCATGTTAAGAACAAAATGATAATCGTTCTATGAAAAAATATAAACATTTATCAAGATAATAAATATATAAATATAAATTTTTAATCGACTTCTCGTTATCTCGTATTATGTCTTAGCGGTGAAAATATACTGTGTTCAAGACATTTCAAGGCTGAGCGTCTGACGTATACAACAGAAATATCTTATTATTCTCAAAACAATTTAAATTTTCTCGAAATTAAATTTGATATTCATCCGAACACATAAAATTTGTAAAATTACCCACAGGATCTTTTTTTCATATTTATTGCATTATAATGCGTTAGGCATATCGTAATGCCTTGTAATGTGTCGGCCTTTCTATTATGTTATAACGCGATAAATTTAGAAAAAACTAAAGCATTAGCGCAACGCGTTACGTGCCAAAAAATTGAAATTATAGTGTTATAATGCGTTTTTGTCAACGACTTTCTTATATTTTTATAATGTTACAACGCTATAAATTTGACTAACACGCTAATAGTTACAAGGCGTTACTAAATTCCTATGGCATTATAACGCAATAATCTGTAACGCATTGCAACTCGTTATGCATATTCTAACTCATTGTAAGGCTATAGAAGTTCTTCACACGTTTCAACGACATAAATTTATTGCATTACAATGCATTAACTGTTCAGGCGCTGTAACGCTATACGTGACAGTGGTAATGAGTATGCTGTGGGAGTTTATGTCCTAAGTCTCAAGTCAGTAACATATATGTCTGATGTAGTTGAAGTAATTTTTTCCAGATCAACTTTTCGAGAGGAATCCAGTGGCAGTCTGAGAATTTTATGCAAATATGTCCTTTACGAGAAAACCATGTATTTTCGTTTTGGATATTGTCTAACTCGTAACGAACGCATTAATACCTATCGTGTTACACCGAGTTCCATTTTCTTCTCTCATTGCAATGAGATAGAAAAGAATAATGCATCGTAATCTATTAGATATTAACTCGTTACAATACGATATGCATTATCTAACGAGCTATAAAACGCTATAAAAGATTTTTCGAAATTTATGGCATTATAATTAGATAAAACATCTAAGCTATTATAACGCATTATATTGAAGTAGAAAACTCAAACGCGTTATGATACATTCGAATCTAACGTATTATAAGGCGGTAGACAAATCTAATCGCGTTGTAACGAAATAAAAAATTGAAACGCATTATAATGCTATAAATTTATTGAGTTGTAATGCAATGGGAATTTTTATCCACTTACAACGCTATAAATTCCTGAAAAATAACTTTGAACGCGTTATAACACGACGGACTATGTAAACCGCGTTGTAATGAGATAAATCTATAGCGGTGTAATGCCATAATTTAAAAAAGCATGTTTTATAGTGTTGTAACACTATAAATAGAGGAAAAAAGATCCTGTGGGTAAACAGGCTTCAGTTATTAAATGAACCAGAGTATTAAAACTGGCATAAATGAAACATCGAAAATGGCTAGCATCAAGATAATTAATGTGGAACATATCTTACCCATAACGACATTACATATTGCCTCCAATCCATTCTTATGGTTAACAAAATTTTTTTTGTTACTGTGAAAGTTTTAACTTGAAACTAAAAGAAGAATGTTTCACATTCTGTTATTCTTATAAAAATTCAGTTTCTCTTTCTTTTTTGTCTTTTTTTCGTGTAAATTTGCATTTTTAAATTAGACTATTAATAATACTCGCCATGCTTTAAAACTATGTACATCTTCGCTTCTATGAGTATCTGTCTGAGATGTTTGTTCAGAAAATGTTTTTGAATACGAAGAGGCGTGTATAATCATGGTTATATTATTTGAATTTTAAAAGTAAATTCAATTGTTTGTTCCAATGCAAATACTCATCATCATCATCATCATCATCATCATCATCATCATCATCATAGTTGTCAATGTTCCTATTTTTTCGAAATATTCATTCACAGAAAATCTTTATAAGCAAACATTGATATTTCACCTCTCAATCTCTAATTAAAAGTGTGTACATATATCTATTTATCTATCTATTCTTTAATAGTTCTGATCTTAATAGTAAATAGAAGAAAAAAAGTGTGAAGAAATTCAAACATTGTTTCACTCTACGCGCGAACTTAATATAAAAGAAACTCGACTGCTACAATTGCACAAATATTAGAAACCACCCACGCATGCTTCTGTTTGACGTTTATATTAAACAAAAATTTATTTCATGATCTTAAATATATATATATATATATTATATTTTTTCCGAGAAAGAAAAACGAAGAAATAATCATACTATTGCTTCGAAAATGTTTTCAAATGTACGATATGGGTTAAACAAAATTAAATTGAAAAGGAGGCAAGCAGATAAGGCAGTTTTGTGGCCTCGATTTGTTTCGAATAAAAATTACATGGTTGAAATCGGCATCAAATTCTGAACAAAACTGTCGCTTCAGATTTTCAAGAAACTCACTTTGATTTTTTTCAAAAATTTTTAGGCTGAGGTCTCCCTTTGAACATCGAAAATATTTTTTCCTGAAGGTGGATACGTGACACATCATTAGACGCAGAATTTCATGCTAATAACAAATATGAGGTCAAAATCTGAAAAAACCTTGTCCTTGACCGAGAAAACCGCCATCTATCTAAAAGTGACCAAAATGACTCACCTCCGTTTATCCTAGATTAGATGCTCAGACAAGCGACAACAAACCTCGAAACACACAAGACCTTACTGGCCGCGATTTCAGCTTTCAGAATCTGTGTCGAAAAGTTTGGAAAAAACGATTCTTCAGGTAGAAAAGGTAAGAAAACTAAAAATAATAGCCCAAAAAAATAGTTTTCTCACTGTCCTTCTGAGGATTGCGTGTGACACGACCAAAACTACATGGACGTATTCAGTTTTTGACGCGGAATCGAATGAGCATAGTTCGAGAGTCGAAAAAAATGTTCTTTTTTGAAAAACTTATTTTTTTCTAAACAACTGTAGGGAAAGGCGTTAAAAATGGCTTTTTGGATCTATTAAAGGCTTTCGAACCGCTGTACTGTCAGCAAAATTACATACGCATGTTCCATTTTTGACGCTTTTTTTAGTGGTGTCAAAATCAGACTCAAAAGAGCTGAACTTTCTTTGGAAAACCTCTCTTTTCTAACGTAATAGAAGGAAAAAGCTATAAATTTTCGGCCTACTTGAGGCTTTTGTGGCTTTGTTTAAGGGCATATTGACTTTTTCTTTAACTTCGCCACGCAACTAGTACTGGGTAGATTCATTAGTTGCAAGTTCAGGTTCCTGCGTTTATCCGTTTCATCGCACACAGGTCACCCTAACAGAGAAGGTAAAGTTTTTTTTCAGTTTTTTTATTTATTTTTTTTGTTTTTGCACTTCCTAATGCAAAGTTTTTTCCTAAAAATGATTGACAGAAAGCAGAAAATTGCAATTGTGGAGTAGAATTATGGGGCATAAGACCCTTTTCTTATTTGTACAGCTCAGGAACCGAATATTAAATTTTGAGTCATCGTATGTAGAGTTATTATTATCATTTTCTTAACAACAACAAACCAATTGGGATATTTTTCAAGCTTTAAATGACCGTAGAATCTGCAAAACACGATAGAGCCGTGTTTTATGACGAAAACCTCACGTAACATCAAACTTAAAATTCTAAACTGATATTGTATTCATATCTTCAGGTCCTAAAAAGTAAGTTTCTGACTATAAACACGATAAAAAACTAAATATTGCGGTTACTGCGACATTCCTGCTAAAATGCAGAACGACGTATAGACCCCACAACTTTCTTTTAATTTTAGACGAATACCCCAGGTTTCAACGAATCGTACGATGTATGATGAGTTGGGATTCGAAGTTATTTTAGTCGAAAAATAGACAAAAGAATCTCGGTGGACATTTTCGATGTAAAATGAGATTTTCTCCGTAACAAGGCAAGCCAGAGAGTTGGGATTTTTACCAGTATTCTCGACAGGAGACAAAAAAAGGATAAAAGTTTGGACTCTAACGGATAAACTTTTCACACAATTTTTAAAATCTTGGTGGACATTTTGTACAAAAAACCAGGTTGAATACATATTTCATCCTGGTTTTCGGTTGAATGGAAAACTCTAAAAACTTTTTTTTCCGCCAAAGTGTAGAGCTTGTTATGCTCTATATTTCTTTCCGTTTTAAAACTTTCTAGGTTTCATCATTAACATATGAATCTAGTTCTAATGTGGGTGGACAAAATTTTGCAAAAATACTGTGAAACAGGTTTTTCCACACCTTTATTTAAATTTAAAGTACAAATTCTGAAAACCTGCTTTTCAGGCTATAAGAAACTCTAAAAACTTTTTAAAACAAGTTCTAATACATGAGACAAAAAAGTTGATTTTTTCTTCAGATGGAGCCCAAAATAGCCGATGTTAGTCTTGGTATCCGCCTGAGATGAAAAATTCATTTTTTCACAAGTGAATGACCATTTCTAAACAAACAAAACAATAAAAAGAAATTTAAAATCTGTTGAGCGGAATAACCTTTATAAATAAAACATTCTCCGACAACCAACCGTACAATGGTTATGCCATTCACTGAGAAGGGTATTAAGGCTCCACTTGTGTCTATCTTATACAGAGAAAATGAAAACGATGTAGTTTTTGTGGGATTTGTCGAGTTTTTATAAGTAAAAATCTAATGAAAAAACTTTCTTCCATGAAGGATTAGAATCAGTTGCCCAGCGAGGTTATTGCTGCTTTGTAAGTAGAACTCGTTGATATCCATTTTAACTCCATCGTTCAGAGTATACTTTTATTCCTTTTTTATATACTACCAGGGATAATTTAGTCAATGTTTTTTCATATTAACTTTTCATCATCGTCTTGTCATTTTTTTAACAGCATAAACTAAACAAATAAATATGTATAAATGTATGTATATGCGCATCATTCAGGGTAGCTCAGCGAAACTATAGATGTCGGATAAATCCTACCGTCTAGAAGCTCAAAATGTCCTTCTCCAAAGTTGTATGGAACAAGTGATAAAGAATCGTTCATTCTCTTGTATAGTCCCTTGTTTCTTGTCTCTTTTCGGTTGGAATCTTTGATTTTCGTCTCCAATACACTCTTTTCCAGTTAGGATTTCTCAGAATTTAAGAATGCATCCTCTGATATTTTTGTTTGAGGCACTTTGCCTGAAAGGTACCATAGGACAGAAGACCCTGAACGATCATCGGTTATATTTTTTGCTTGCACGTCCGCAACATATTAGATCAGCTATTTTGGGAATCGAAAGCCAAGTTTTTTCCAATATGTGTCAAACGTTTGAGACTTACAATGGAAAAATGAAATATTTCTGATTTTTAAAGTTGCTCATTACCATATTCAAAACATACTGATTAGTCTGAAAATCGAATGTAAAGATTCTGCTGTTGCTGAAAAAAGTGATTGATTGTGTGCGTTCAAAATCTGCCTCAAGCAAAAATATTCAAGTAACTGTTAAAATCCTGTGGCTTGCACAGCTTATGTCAGAGATGGGCGAGTCAAGCCATTTTTCGAGTCGAGTCGAGTCCGAGTCATTTCGTAGCGGCTTCGAGTCGAGTCGAGTCGAGTCATCCGCGTTCTCGAGTCGAGTCGAGTCGAGTCAAGATATTTTTGCCATTTTTTCGTTTTCGGTTTATTTTTATAAAGAAAATTAACAAGTTTTTCGTGACACAATATTTAGTTCCTAGTTCTTAATTCACGAAAAAAACAAAGTCCTACATGAAATGAAATGACACAAGTACTATAGATTTATCAACAAAACAAGAACATCAAAATCAACTATTCTCACGAATAAGTGAAAATTTAATCTGATGAGTTGTGATTTTTTTATAAGAGCAAATTAAATTTTTTTTTAATGAATGACTCGAGTCAAACAGTCGAGTCAACGTCACCCAATCTTCGAGTCCGAGTCGAGTCCGAGTCATTAAAAAAAGGTGACTCGAGTCCGAGTCATAACTCGGACTCGCCATCTCTGGCTTATGTTCCGCATTATTATTACCTGGATGGCGATGTCCATTATCAATCATCTTTAACTGCTCAGTCAATGGGACGGCCTAGAAATAATTAACATCATGATACAAAATAATCATTCAAAATATAAATCATATTTCTTTCTATGTCATCTTTTAGAATCAACCCATGTCAACATCAGGAAAAAATAGCTGATTAGACGCAATTAATCAGTGGATTCATCGTGCGCTTAATCGCAATTCTCAAGCAGAATTTTTTGCTCGTAGCTAATCGTCGACTTTTCAAAAATTTCATGATTTCAGTAGTAATCGCGCTTAAGCGAAATTTATCGACGGTTTTTTTCACAATCGAAACGAATCAGCTTAGGAATTGCGATGAAGCGCACGATTACTTGACTGATTAATTGCATCTAATCAGTCAATTCTTCCCGATTTGATGACATAGGAAATTTCACACAGGTACATACAACATGTTCTTCAAATATGATGTCTGACAAAACTCTGTATAGTTATTATTTGTATCTTCTAACTTGCTGCAGTCTATTAAAACCAAAAGACTAATTCGTGGCATACCATTTGGATTATAATAATAAGACTATTACCATTAAATTTTTAAGTAACACACATATTGCTTTTGTCGCGTTATTATTCTGAATAAATCGACTATAAAACGGTTTTAATTCTGCAAATATTGTGTTTCAGTTTAGCGCACTCATAATTGTACGAATTAAATGGTAGTATGAACTGTTAGTGTACTGAACGATTGCATCTGATGAACTCCTGCCGTTCTATTGTATCGTTACTATACTATTGTACGCTGAAATTTTAGTACAGGGTTGCGAGAAATGTTTTGCCCGGGGGTATAGCTCCAATGACAAATGATATCAAAAAAATTGTAATTAATTGTATTGTAAAATTCTATTAACACCTCACAAGCATCCATTTGTCATTTATAAACCTTCTTAATTCGAAATTCACTGATTTAACTCGCATAATGGCTGAGACTTATGACAACGAGGAACAGAGAATCATCGACCGAGTAAAATGTGTCTGTGAAATTATGATTTCATAATTTTTGGCATTTGTATAGGAGAAGCCAACTGCGAGCAAAGTAGATTAGTAACGTTAGTTTATTCTTAATTTTAAATATACTAATATAAAATGTCGTATAAAAAAAGTGTTTCAATTCATTATAGTCACTGCCTCTATTCTCCATAATGAATTTCATCAGTTTGACGAAATTATATGATTAAACGGAACTAATTTTAGTCGAACCTCATCATTATTGTTGTTAGTGTTATTATTATTATTACTATTGTGCTGTGGTTCCATTGGTTGTTGTGAATGTTTTCTTGATCTACATCCAGTACACATTGTAAAATATAATTCTTCTTTGATATGTTGTTTCCATGTATTCTACAAAATAAATATTAATAGACACGCTTAGAAGAAAAATGTGGTTTGATTACCGTTTTTCCAGATGTTTTTCTACATTTCTGCTTCCATACTAATTCTAGTGCTGTAACAACTAACGAAATAAACATACCCAGTGCAAGTAATAGAAAAATACCACCTATTAAATAAAACTTTTAGTTGATAAATCAGAAATTTACTTTAGATTTGTATATACCTATATTTTTCAGATCAAGTTCATTTGTGAAATGTTTTTTCCGCTTATCAACATCTAGATCATCACAAGGTACAGGCACATTTCTTTCTTTCCACCAAGTATCGTACATTTTACTTAATACACCGTTCTCTTGCATTTTAAGAATAACATCAGAAATAAGATCACGATACGGTGAACCTACAAGATAATTAATCATTTATTTGTACATATCAGTTAATAGTCATTTTTTACATTTAAATAGACTTTTAAATGATCTAGAACTTACCATGAGCAGTACCAATACCATAGCTTTTTGATTCTATTAATCCTCCTACTTGCATTAATTCACAATGTCGTTGAACATTGTATTCATTAGTGGCTGACTCAAGTAAGAAGGCATAATTTTCGTTTTTTACACGATTAATACCCTAGAACAATATGTTCACTTCAATATAACTGTGATCACTTTAAATTTATGATTTACTTCTTCCGTTGTTATCATAAATACATCAGGTTTTGATGACATATAATACCACATTCGCTCATAAAGTGGAAGTTTTGAACTCTAAAGATTTAATTTTTATGTTTAATTCTTATGAATTATACAATATTCTTTCTCTATAATTTCATTTAATTATGAAACATAACTTTGCTAAGTTTAGTAATCAGCAGTTAGGCAAAAAATGTGTGTTGTTCTTACCGTATGACCAATTAAAATATAAACTTACTCGAAAAAACTGTTCGGTAGATCCGCCTTTTAGTGCACCATATTTTATTCTAAACAAAATATTTGTACTAAATATAGAAATTAAAAGATTATAGTACTCATTATACTCACTCAGTCTGTTTTGCTAATGCTTCAACATCATCAATAGGCGATTTTAATCGTTTTGTTGTTAAAAATGCTGCTAAATTGGCCGTATAGGATGCAATCATAATCAATGAGAAAAACCACCATGATCCAATTAATGTTCGAAGGCACAATGATTTAGGACCATAGTCAATATCTATAATAGTGGAAAAATCGGATAGAAATAATTTCAAAAAATATTAAAATAATCATTTATTACTTTGTTTCATTAATGATCCTACGCAAAACCAAAAACAATTCATTATTGTAAAACGATTAATTATGTAATCACTGTTACGTTTACATGAATACGGACTCTGCCATTCATACGGTGATAATCTTGCCATAGAAAATAAGAAAAAACTCACACCTAAAAATACGCTATGTAGATTAATTTAGATAAAAAGTTAATAAAAAGAATAATATCCTACCCACGTAAGCAGCCCCCATACAGAGCCATACTTCTAGAGAAAGTGGTGCTAAAAATGCAAATAAATTGGGTTTCGTTCGTAAAGGTTTTCGAAATAATATTGTAATGCCTATAAAAAATTCACATAGTTCAAGATAATTTTTTGAAAAATATATAAAAATTACCAAAATTCATAAAAGGTTTAGTGAAATCAATGACTTTTTCTCTAGCCGATGTAATGGTCAAAGCTCCTACACCTAAATCTGCATTCTAAAATACAAAACTAAAAAATCATTGACTGCATTTTTATAAAAATATTGCATGCTTACTCTATCTACAAGTTCTCCAATTATACCTGTCCATTTTCCGGTACTGTCTTCTTCCTTTCCATAATTTCCATCACTTACTACTCGAAGGGAATAATTAAAATTTAATTCTTTCGCTATGTGATTCAACATATCAATACAGTAACCTTCAAATTGAACGGTACCATTTGGAAAGAAAATACGTGACACATACGGTTTTTCCTAACCACAAAATGATTGATGACAGTTACATAATACACATTATTCGATTTATTTACCTCTCTTGTAACCACTTGTAAATGTCGTCGAATTTCCGTAATTTTTTTCTGACCTAAACTACGAATAGTTAAACTATCATCATTCCAGCCATATGATCCAATCTATTAATAATTCAAACTCGTATAATATTCAATTTTGAACAAAATTCTACTCACTTCTCTCACTCCATGTTGATCAAAATCAAGTATTTTCAATTTCAAGTATTTTCGTGTACCATTTAAATCAAACTCGATTGTGCCCGTATTGCCATGATATTTTGCCTGAAAAAAAATAAATATCCAACTTCATTATATTATACTCAAAAAAGTTTTTGTTTTCACGTACCAAGTGAAATTTTTTTAATAACATTTCACCCGAATTTAATAAAAACGAATTATAATCAGGAGAAAACGATGAGGAACTTAAAAAATCATGCCAAACACAATTCTGTGATGGAAAACTAAAGTTACTTTCTAAATTCATTATAACTGATTTAACAACTTCAAATGCATCACTGATCAGTGCTTGCTCGAGCTAGAACAAAGAAGATAAACATTATTTTTGACAGTTTATAGTGCACATGCTAAATAAAATTTCGACTTAATGATGTATCTCCCATGACATCACTCATATATTCAAGGAACTCCTAATAGGACTCTTCTCATTCTCCCAATTTTAGTGAAGAATGCCACGTAATTGTAACCATCATAATATGTTTTTATCGGTTTTCCTTTTTCGCATTCCACATATATTTCCAAGCAAAATTAGTAACCTATTTGAGATGAGACGACAAAGTATCGAATGTCATATTTAACACTCTGTTTTTAGCTAAAAATTCTTTTTTTACTTGATTAGGGTGACAAGGTTTCATCTGCTACTTTGTTCTAGGTATCATCATTATATTTTTGTATAATCATTTCAAAAGATATGGTAGAAAGAATGATGCTTAGTTAATGTAATAATCAACGAACATTGAGAAATATTTACTAAAAAATAGCGAGTCAAAATAATGTTTGTGAATTTGTGTCAATCATAAAATAGCTGTATTTCAATGATTATTTATAGTAATAAATTAAATCTATACTATAAATAGAAAATTTGTGGCTACAATTTAGTATGAAGATAAAGTGATGATGTCTTTTGACTCAGCAATTATTGACATTTTATAAAAACATATTTAACACAGCGTTCATCACTGCTTTGATGACATTAGAAATGAAAACTTCTTGATAGAATTGAATTACCATGAGTATAAAAGATTATTGATTATTTTTCTTTTATATAAATAAGTATATCGTTTATTTGACTAAAATATCATGGCTGTATATATCTGACGAAATATGGATAAAAATAACTCAAGTTTACAATCTCTCTTTTATTTTCAACCATTCTAGTTAATTATATACTTAAGCTTTCAAAACATGTGTATTGAATATTTTTTCATATGTTCCCACTCATAACGAAGAGGGTTCAATCAAGCTCTATTGAAACATATATAATCAACTGAAAAAACATTTGATCTGTTCCTATATGACATATTATTTCATATATATGAGAGAAACGTAACTTTCTGGTAAAATCGATAAAAAAAAATGAAAGTGTTCATTAAAAAAAAATGAAAGTGTTCATTAAAAAAATTTGAATGGTACGTTTTGTTCCCTTGTCTTTGCCGAGTATCCTATACAAATTTCCCAACTGCCAGACTCATACTGACTGAGTTAGGATGGAGACAATTTCCAGTTTTTGCCATAGAGAATTTTTGGCAGGATTTTTCTAGAAAAAGGGTTGAAATAGATATATTCTACATCGTTCGACAGAGAATGATTCGAGCAGTACAGTGAGACTGTGAGCAAATGCGTCAAGCCGAAAAACCGCAGAAAAGTTTTTTCATTCTTTAGTGTTAAAATCTAAAAAAGTCCGAATTTCGTTATGTGATTCTACTTTCAGAATTATCCATTATTTTAGCAAAGACTATAGATTTTAGAGCTCCAAAAATTAGGTAGTCAAACTCGCCGCAGTCTGAGGAGTCGACTGGTG